GAACCAAGTTGGAGTATTTCACTACTCGTTAGGACCTTTCTAACAAAAGTAGTCCCAACCCGAAATCGATTTATAACCTCGGATGGTTCTCTCATGAGAGAGAGAGAGGATGATGTGAGTTTATTTTCAATGTAACTATCTAGCCATTATCATATTTTATTCTTTAAAGATTAGCAATTATTTTGATCAATCAATAATGTCATCTATTGAAATTGTTTGTACAAAATGTGATCAACAATTTAATAACAATTGTACAGATCGTTCATATATTTTACGTACTCAAAAAATAATATCTCAAACAATGATACAACAACCATTTCGTTTATCAAATATTTTACCATTTTTTAGTTTATTTCGTGATAAAAATTTAAATTATTTAGTTATAATTAAATATTTTCAAACATTAATTAATCATGAACCATCATTTTTAAGACCAATAAATGATAATGATTTAGATCTTATTGAATTAAAAACAATTTATACAAATTATTTTGAAAAACTTTCATTTGATGATAGTGAACGTATATCTTTAATTTATTTAATGCCCTATTTAATTAATTCATCATCATATAATAATTATGATAATACATCGGATTTAATTGATAAAATTATTTTAAATTCATTAATATCTATAACAAATAAAGCACAAAAAGATGTTTATGAACAAGAAATTGGTAGAATGGTTAGTATATGTGGTCAAATAGCTCGACGAACATGTAATGAAGAAATATTTTCATATTGTTTATTTGTTTTAATTAATTCACAATCTACAACATTTGATAGTTTAGCACAAAGTCAATTAATACATATAGCCAAAGATGAATATTATACACAACGACAAAAAAAACAATTACATTCTTATCGTAAGTATTTTTTTTTTTAAATTAATCTATTTTAAATTATTTTAAAGATTAAAAAATATAAAAATAAATATATTTTAGTTGATGAAAATCGTCAATTTATGAATGAAAAAATTGATTTAACATCTATTATTCATAATCATAGTGAAAGTATTTTTTGTTTAATAACAAAAACATTATTAATTAATAGTCAACAATCATCTGAATTATGTCTTAAACATTTACGTTTATTATCAATTTTAATTCAAGATACAAATACAAGTTCACAAAATAATACAAATAATTTTTTATTATTTTTACAACGTTTTTTACCAAAATTATTACCATGGATTATAGAAGATCGAAGTAAAAATGCATCAAAAGTATTAGGATATTTAAAAGCAGAATTAAATGAACGAAAAAGAAGTTTAGTATTAGATTATTTTCCTCATATTTATGTTCATTTATGGCGTCATGTTCAACTTGATAATAATAAATTAACAACTAAAACAACAATGTATAATATTGAACGGGTTTATGAAGTAATGGATTTTATTGAAAGTGAAACAGCATATGATCGTGGAACTATTTTTCGTTATAATGGACAACCATTATTTAATAAATTAGTTCAATATATTAGTGAAGAAACTGAACAAATTTTAAAAGGTTTACAAATGGCTATAGGAATATTACAAGATATTGTTATAGTAAATAATGATGATTATTATCGTTTAGTAACAATTGATGATGTATTTAAATTTTTACAAACAAAATTATTAGGAATATTATGTGATTTTGAAACAGAACTATTATCAAATTTAACATCAATAAATGTTAAAAGAAGAATATTAAATAGTTTAGAAGAAATATTAAAACATATGGGTATGTAAGAGAGACATGATTGAAAAAATCAATGTTTTTTTTTATAATGGAAAACTGATAGTTCTATGTGTATGATGATAAAAACTTTCTTTTTTGCTTGAGTGTGTATGTCATAGAGAATTTGTACTCTTTCGTCAGTATTTTCAATTTTTCTCCTCTTTCTTAGATTTTATCAAGCTGATTGTCTTACGAGGGAACATTCCCAGGTGCCGGAATCCGATTTCGTCCGTTCATGTGCCGATCGATAAGTCCTATTGAGGTGTGAAAAAGCCTCAAAGGATATCTGCCCGATTTACTTCCTTCCAAAGTTACACCCGTTTTTCTGTTTTTCCCAGCGAAAAACGCACTACATTGAAAAATTCATAACTCAGTCAGTTTTTTCAATATCCGCTTGAAACTTTCATCGAAAACAGGTGACCTCGTCTAGTATTTATGCTGAAAGTTTCAGCCTTCAACTGTGTTTCCTTTCCGAGATACAGAATTTTTCGTTCTTCAAGCGATTGGTGTGCCAATTACATGAACACTGTCACTTTTCTTTTAATCAGCTGATTTTAGTCATGTAAACGGATCTCATGGTTTCTTACCACTTAAAGTACTTTT